TGATTGAGATATTCGCCACTTCCCCCCACCCTCTCTGCTCCTCGGAGGCGTGGGGGGGTTCAAGGGGGCGGCCGGAGGGTGCGGATGCTCGGCCGGGCCGGGGTGCCGAGGCTCCTGCTTTCCCCGCTGCCCACTCGCGGGTCAGCCCCGTTCCTCCTCCTAATGTCTTGGCGAGGGGTAAGGGTGCGGGAGATGAGGAGTGGGTGTTTCTCCCTTCCAGAGGGTGGCTGCTTTCCTGGGGTCACTCCTGTGCGTGGGCACCCCAAGCTGCAGGGAGCCGCCTCAGCTCCCCGCAGGGCTGCCACACCCGTTGTTCGCTACTCCTAGGTTTGCCTCGGCCCCATTTCGGACAGGGCAAAATTTATTCTGCAGCACTTGAACCGGTCCTCGTGGTTTTCCCACTCCCATGGAGCTCGATGCATATTTCCCACGCAGCTGAATGGTGATCTTCATTTTAGGGGGAAACTTCTCCCTATCACCACAAAACGGGCAACAAACCCTGGTCCGCGGGCGAGGTCGCCGGTGTCGGTGCCGGCTCCCCGGGGTGCAGGATGGATCCCACTGGCACCTACGCGTCCTCGCCACTCAAGGATTTCTGCCTGCCTCCGTCTGGCCTTTGATATTCCTCACCCCCTCCCCTTGCCGAAGTTCAGACCTGTTTACTCCAGCCCGGATCTCTGAAGTTCAAATGTACATGTGCTTCCCCGTCCGCTGAGTGACAGCTACAATGGGAATGTCTCGTTCGCTCCTGGTTTGCATATAATTACACCGGAGATGCAATATGTTTATGGCAGGAGAAAAACTACTTGTCTTTACGCTTGTTAAGGATATTCATTTAACCGCGATACAGCGCGGTTTAAAAGCTCTTTAGGGTAGATAGAATATTCCCCTCGCCGCCGGCTCGCAGCTCAGCGCGAGGGGACTTTTGTTGCTCTTATCCCGGGTTTGTTCTGCCTTTTCCTCGCATCCTCGGTGTAAGGGACGAGGGAAATCCACGGAGCCACCGACCGGCCACTCCTGGGGCCGTTGCTGGAACTTCACCTGCCCCTGCCCCGCTGCGAAATCTGCCATAACGAGTGGGCACCCTTTGGGCACGGCGTTTTCCTCCCGCGCTGGAGGGCCCAGACCTTGCGGTCTTGTCCGTGGCACGGCTCTCCGGACCGTGCCCGGTGCTGGCACGGCTCTCCGGACCGTGCCCGGTGCTGGCACGGAGCAGCGCCAAGCCCCGGCAGTGCCCGGGCCAACGCAGCACCGCGGGGACCCCGGCACGGAGGTCCCGGTGGGCTCCGGGCACGGAGGGACCCGCAACGCTTTCCAGGGGGTTTTACATTTTTGTAGCCCTTAAGTTCCGAAAACACTCAAAGGGAAAACAAAACAAAACAAAAACCACCAACAAAAAAAAGGTAGCAGAATGGCACAATATTTGTTCTTGACGTAAAGCAGGGGCTCTTTCTCTGCCTTCCCCTCGCGCTGGGAGCACAGAAGGAAAAGGGAGCCTGGAGACTACTTTTCCGGTTGCTGTTGTTTGCACGTTTACAATTGAGATAGATTTGAAATGGAAGAGATGCGAGGTACCCCGACTTTTGAAAAAGAAATTAAGTTTGGCCAGAAATACTGCTGAATAAAAATGGAATTTACTGAAGTAATAAAATAAAGTACACAATATATTATATGTAATATAATATATTGTATGTATATATATTGTATATGTAATACAATATATATATATTCCGAAAGCTCAGCAAGAAAAAAAATATCATAGGCTATACGGACAATGCCTTAAAACAACAACAACAAAAAAAAAAACAAAAGCCCAACCCAAAAAACACCCCCCAAAACAAAACAAACCCCAAAACAGTTTTCTCGTTTTACACTATTTTTTTACTATTTCGCTAAATGGCAAATTCCAGTTAGGAAGAGATGGGGTGTAAATAGTGTCAGTATGCCAGTGCGGATGTTGCCCGGTGCACACACCCAGGCAAAGTTGGCAGAGTAGAAGTGGGAAACGTATAAAAAGAGATTTATAGGTTAATTGATGTAGCCCGATCCGCAAGTACACAGCTGCAAGGCAGGCTGCGGCCACAAACCCTCCCGAAACGGGGAGTCCTCGTCCAAAGCTACGATCGCTTCGTTTTACTTCCCAATCCCAACCCTTCGGGATGTTTTTCTCGAAGCCCCGTGGTCCCGCCGTTGCCGACGCGGCGATAATTTTTTTTTAGGCGAAAAACAACTTAAATGGAATTGTTTTTTAAGCTTCTACCGCCGTGGAGCCCCAGTCGCTCTTTCTCTCCGAGCCGGAGGGTTTCCCAGCCCGGTCGGGGCAGCCGCAGCCCCGCGTGCCGTGGGCACCTGGGCGGGCAGCGCAGCTCGCCACGGCCACCGGGCCGGTCCCGGCGCGTCCCACCCACCGGGGACACAATGCCACACGTGAGGCCTCTGCACAAGCAGGGGTCAGTCGCCCTCGGTCGCCCCAGGTCGGCGACTTCAGAGGGGCTGCCCTCCCCGGCGCTCAGCTGACGAGAATATTTGAATTCTTCACCCTGCCTTTTTTTTTTTTTTCCCCCTTTTCTTTCTCATTTTTAAAATTAAAAAAAAAATATTGGGGGTTAGTTATTGTCGAGAAAACCCAAAATGTGCGGGAGGTAATGAATGAGCCCTCCGGAAAAGGGCAGGTAGAGCCTCAGCGGAGAGCGAAGGGGGGTGCGCGGCCTCGCCCCGCAAATTTGGGACCCCGCAGGTTTCGGACCTGTCGCGGACGAGCCGCGGGAAGCGCTGCGGTCCTGCCGGGTCTCACGCGTGCGGGGAGAGCGGGCAGGCGGCCCCGACCGCCCCCGGTGGTGCCCCCGGTGGGTCCCCCCCAGGGCGGGTCCCCCGCTCCCGCCTCCTGCTCCGCTGCCATCCTGCACCAGCGGCAGCCACGGACTCACCTTCCAACTTTAGCACTGCTCTGAGCGGCTGTGGCCTGGGAAATTTGAGTGTTTGACGTGCACCGGTATTATCTCTCGGGGCGATTTTATATCGGTGGCTTTTTTTCCACTCTCCTTTCTTTCTTTCTTTTTTTTTTTTTAAATTTTTTTCTCTCTTTTTTTTTTTTTTTTTTTTTTTTTTTTTTTTTTTTTTTTTTTTTTTCTCTTTTACTCGCTCCCTGCAAACCTTAAAATAAAGAAGACGAAGCCTTTCCTGGGGTTGATTGGGGGGAAGAATGTGAAAGGGCCGCGGTTATAAAGCGCTGCTTGAAGCGGGCTCTCAATGCGTCTCTGAACTTGATCAGATTTTACGTTTCCTGCAGAGAGCCGGCGGCGAGCCTAAGACCTGCCCAATAGCCAGACTTGGGGGCTCAGCAAACCTCAGGATATTACAATTACAGCCATCTTTCTTTCTGCCTTTTATTTCCACTCTTGCTCCCCATAGTTCTTTGCAAATGCTTTCCAGAACAGAAAATGAGTGGATTTATAGCGCTGTCTGCAACTGATAATTATTCCAAGGCAGAACATTTCCCTTGCAAAATAAAATTTAAAAAAAAGGAAAAAGGGGGGGGGGGGTGGAGAGAAAGAGGGAAAGAAATGAAAAAGACGAAAGAAAAAGAGAAAGAGAGGAAGGAAATAAATAAAGAGAGAAATAGCTAGAGAAATAAAGAGAGAAAGAATAAAGGACAGTAGGAAAAAGCCATCTCGGAGCCGCCGTGCCGGGCGCTGCTCGGGTCAGCGCGGGGTGGGGGACGGAGCGAGGGGGGTAAGGGCCGAACCGGGCCGGGTGAACGCAGAGCCGGTGCCGAGGCTGAGGGGCAGGAGCGGCTCTGCTCTCGTGTGTCATCAGTACAGATAAAAATGGATAGAAAAATAAAACAAATGGACAAAGTATTTATGATTATATGTACATACTTACGTATGTATGTATGTTTGTACGTATACATAAATAAACCGATAACAACCTCGGCTTTAGTTTTTGTTGGTTTTTTTAAATTAAATTTTATTTTTTAATCAGAGCGGCGGCTTTGCAGCGGCTTTACGCCTCCCCGCCGCGCCACCTAGGGCGAGCATCCCGCGCGCCGTGGGGCAGCGGGACACGGCGGGGACAGCGCGCACGGAGCCAGGGACACGCGGGCCGGGCCGGGGCCACAGGACACCCTAGCGAGCCGGGCTGCACCGAGCCGTGCCGTGCCGTGCCGGACCAGGCCGAGCCGAGCCGAGCCGAACCGAACCGAGCCGGGCCGGGCCGGGCCGGGCCGGGCCGAGCCGAACCGATCCGTGCCGTGCCGTGCCGTGCCGGGCCGTGCCGTGCCGGGCCGGGCCGGGCCGGGCCGCCCGACGCGCGCGGCTCCCGCCGCCCCCGGGCCCCCCGCGCTACCTGCGGGGCGCGCGCGCCCAATCAGCGGCGGCGGCGGAGCGGGGCGCGTGCCAATCAAGCGCGGCGCCGCCAATGGGGCGGCGGGCGGCGGGTCAGGTGACCGGCGGCGCGCGGCTCCCCATTGGCGCGGCGCGGCCTGGCCCGGAGTTGGTTTATGTGCGAGGCGCGGACGGGCGCCCCGTCAGTGCCCCGACGGCGCCGAGCGGGAGCGCGGCCGCGCTGCGCCTCCTCGCCCTGCTGCGCCGCCCTGCCCGGCCAGGCCCGGCCCGGCGCGGGGGGCGGGCGGCTGTTTTGGGGGCCGGTTGTTTTGGGTTTTGTGTTTTTGTTCTTGTTTTTGTTTTCGTTTTTTTTGGTGTCGGCCGGGGGGTGCTCGCCTCGCTGCCCGCCCGCGGGGGGCGGCCCGCGGGGCGCCGCCGGACGCCCGTGCGGCGGGGTCCCCTCGCACCGCCCTCCCCGCCGGGCCTGGAGGGCCGGGAAGCCTGGAGCTGGATTTCCAGCCCTCCGCGGCGACTCCCGCCCGGCCCGCGGCGCCTCGGCCCCGCCACCNGGGGGGGGGGGGGGGGGGGGGGGGGGGGGGGGGGGGGGGGGGGGGGTGCGTTTTGGGGTGGTTTTGAACTTTTTTGGGGGCGGGCGAGCGGGAGGAAGGAGGGTGGGGGGCGGGCAGGCTGCTGCCGCGCCGACGGCCCCGCGCCCATGACGATGCTGCTGGACGGAGGGCCGCAGTTCCCGGCGCTGGGGGTGGGCGGCTTCGCGGCGCCCCGCCACCACGAGATGCCGGGTCGCGACGCCGCCGCCGGCGGCATGGGGCTGGGCCCCTTCGGGGACTCCTCGCACGCCGCCGCCTTCAAGCTGAACGCAGCCCCGCACGACCTCGCCGCCGGGCAGAGCTCGGCGTTCACGCCGCAGGCGCCGGGCTACGCCAGCGCCCTGGGCCACCACCACCATCACCACCACCACCACGCCGGCCAGGTGCCCTCCTACGGCGGGGCCGCCGCCTTCAACTCCACCCGCGACTTTCTGTTCCGCAACCGCGGCTCCGGCATCGCGGACGCCGCCTCCGGCACAGCGCAGCACGGGCTTTTCGGCGGCTCCCCCGGCGGCTTGCACGGCCCCGGCGGCATCCCGGACACCCCGGGCTACCTGCTCTTCCCGGGGCTGCACGAGCAGAGCCCGAGCCACACGTCCCCGAACGGGCATGTGGACAACGGGCAGATGCACCTGGGGCTGCGCGGGGACCTCTTCGGGCGGCCGGATCCCTACCGGGCCGTCTCCAGCCCCCGCACGGACCCTTACGCCGGCGCCCAGTTCCACAACTACAACCACATGAATATGAATATGGGCATGAACGTGGCGGCCCACCACCACCACCACCACCACGGCCCCGGCGCTTTCTTTCGGTACATGCGCCAGCCCATCAAGCAAGAATTGTCCTGCAAGTGGCTCGACGAGAGCCAGCTCAGCCGGCCCAAGAAGAGCTGCGACAGGACTTTCAGCACCATGCACGAGCTGGTGACCCATGTCACCATGGAGCACGTCGGGGGGCCGGAGCAGAACAACCACATCTGCTACTGGGACGAGTGTCCGCGGGAAGGCAAGTCCTTCAAGGCGAAATACAAACTGGTGAACCACATTCGGGTGCACACGGGGGAAAAGCCCTTCCCCTGCCCCTTCCCGGGCTGCGGCAAGATCTTTGCCCGCTCCGAGAACCTCAAGATTCACAAGCGGACGCACACAGGTAAGGCCCGTGTCGGTGTGTCCCCGCACCCGGGGCTCGGGGGGCTGCGGGGCCGGGCCGGCGGAGCGCGGGGTGCGCGGCGTTGCCTCCGCTCTCGGCCTCCTGAGCGGAGGGAGCCATAGAAATGCTAATGAAACCTCATTTTCGGTGACTTCCGCTCCTTTTTTATTTTTATTTTTAGGCCTGATTGGCGTCTCTCCTAATTAAATCGGCGATACTTTTGTCAAAGTATTTTTATTTGCAGCCCCGACTTTACTTCAGCCCTCCTGCATGGGTGGAGGGAAGAGAGGGGGAAGGCTGGAAGCAAACGTACTTTGGCTTGTATCCTCGAGTAGGTCTTGTAAAGCTGTCCGAGCCGCTGAATTTATCTCGGGTCTTCTCCTTTCCCAAGCTCGCCCAGCCGCCTTCCCTGCTGGAGCCCAGCGTGGGCCTGGCGGGAGGTGAGTTGATAGTAATAAAGGCTGATCCAAATTTATCCAGCACGTAACAAATCTTGCTGTCCGTCTTGCCCTTCTTGATTTGTTGTGGTGCTTGTGCATCCCTAAGGTGGGGAGAGCAGGGCAGATGTCCTGGGAGGAGGCGGGTGGGGATGGAGAGGGGAACGGCCCTCCTTCACCCTCTCTAAATTTCACAGGTGAGAAGCCTTTCAAGTGCGAGTTTGAGGGCTGCGACAGGCGCTTCGCCAACAGCAGTGACAGGAAGAAACACATGCACGTCCACACCTCGGACAAGCCCTACATCTGCAAGGTGTGCGACAAATCCTACACCCACCCCAGCTCACTTAGGAAACACATGAAGGTAAATCACCGCAGTGCTCCAGCCCTTTTCTCCCTGGGCAGCGATGCTCAGTCGCTGGTGTGCTCAGGGCTCGTTCCCCCCGAGCAGGGCAGTGCTGAGCTCCATGTTCGCAGCTCGGCCCGAGCGCTGCCCGGTGTCCAGGCTGTGTCTGGAGCACAGCCCGGGCAAATGGCGTAGTTTGTGTTTGTGCTCCCGCTGGTGCGAGCGCTGCCCGCTGTGCAGAGCGGGGCTCGCTGCGGGAAGGCTGTGCCAGCCCAGCCCGGCCTGTGGCTGCAGCCCCCCGAGTGTCCGGGGCCACGGCAGGCGTTTGCCGCCGGTGCTCGGTGGCCGGCCGGGCATGAGCTGCCGGCCTGAGGTTGAGGCAGGGCCGAGCCGCCGCTGCACGGTGCCCCCGCAGCCCAGCCGGTGGAACGGGGGTGTGCCGCCGGCCCCGAGCTCGCTCCCATCTCTGCCTCTTGGTTTTAGGTGCACGAATCCCAGGGCTCGGACTCTTCCCCTGCCGCCAGTTCGGGGTACGAGTCCTCCACCCCCCCTGCGGTGGGCTCCGCCGGCAATAAGGACTCCACTAAAACGCCGCCGGCCGCCCTGCAGAGTAACCCCGGCCACAACCCCGGACTGCCCCCCAATTTTAATGAGTGGTATGTGTGAAGGCAGCTGCTGCCCGGCCACAGACTGGACCAAATGCATTGGGAACGAGGAAAAAAAAAAAAAAAAAAAAAAAGGACAAACCAAGCCAACTGCAGCTCGCTCCCACGGAAATGGAGTTTCCACACCGACGACCGCATAGGGCTACACCTACTTAACTGCCAGGATCCGGAGGGGGGGTCTTTTATTATTATATTATAATTATTAATTTTTTCCTTTTTTTTTTTTCTTTGCAAGCCCAGACGCTGGACTAGCCATGTCCTTTTCTCAGGATTAGATTTCTTTTTTTGCTGCCATTTTTTTTCAGTCGCAGTCGTTTCTTTGATTTTTTTCCCCCCCTCCTTGCCTGAGTCTCTCTTTCTCCAATACCCCACTTATTTTATTGTTCTTAATTTGTTTTGTTTTTCTCTCTTTCGGTGGGATGTTGACATGAGGATGAAAATTCTCCTTCGCCTTAGTGGTGATTGTTTAAACTTACAGTCTTAAACCGTGCCAAAGTCCTGTTATGTCTTGAACTTTCCTTTCTAGCTCTCCTGCTGCTTCTTTCTCTGCTCTTCTCTTTCTCCTTCTCTCTCCAAGCATTACACTTGTGAATGTATTCTCGTCTGATGGGGTCGGTCAGTATTTTTCAGGATGAGGATGTGGTGTTTATTCTGCCCAGATTGTGACGTTTAGTATAACGGTTGCCTTTTTGTAATAACTTTTTTTGTAAATACATACCCATGATGCCATATTTATCGTTCGTAATTTAATTATTGATACAAAGTGCCGGGAACTGAACAATATTTATGGGGGAGAAAAAATTGTTTTCTAACAAAAAAATACAAACAAACAAACAAAAAAAATTTCAACTCTGTACAGCTTTTGGTTATAACTGCTTTAGCATTAAAAGTTTATTGTTTTGGAAAGAGCCGTTATTGACCTCCTCCGGGGCACGGGGCTGCCGCGGGTCCCGTCGCGGGCCCGGTTGTTTTGGAGCCTCGTCCTGCCGCCGCTCGCTGTCCTGTCCCTTTGTCCCCCCGCGCGGGCCGGGGCCGGGGCACGGCGCCGGAGGTGGAGCAGCGCCCGGGGCAGCGGGGCCGGCTGGACGGGGAGGTCCCGACGGTGAGTACCGGGCCGGGCAGCGCCTGCGGCCGGGAACCGCGCCGGAGCCCGGGCTGCCGGCCGGGGGGAGCCCGGGGCGACCTCGCGGCGGGCAGGACTGTCTCCGTTATCGTCTGGTTTGTTTTGTTTTGTTTTGTTTTTATTTCTGACTAGGATGCGGAAAAGCCTTCCCGTCCTCAGGAGAGAAAAGGGATCGAGATGAAACATCTCCCCCGAGAAACTTCTCGGCGTCACACGGGAGCCGCAAGCATCCAGAGCGACGGTGGAAGCCGCTCCCCCCGGCACACGGTGGTGCACGGGCGGCCGGAAGGCTCCGGTTGTGCTGCGGGAGCGGCCCCGCACGGCCCCGCACCCTCCTCCGGCGGCAGGGCTCCCCCAGCCCCGGGGGACACGCAGGGTCCCGCACCCTCCTCCGGCAGCAGGGCTCCCCCAGCCCGGGGGACACGCAGGGCCCCGCACCCTCCTCCGGCAGCAGGGCTCCCCCAGCCCGGGGGACACGCAGGGTCCCGCACTGCGGCCGCCGCGCCTTCGCGGACCGGGGCAGACCCCAGACCCCCCAGTCTTGAACTTGGCTGGGGGCTCATTGGAAAGGAAGGGGGTGCCCCAATCTCCTCCTGCTGCTGCAGGGACCGCTCGGGCGAGCAACCCGCGGAACTTTGCATGCTTTGAAATTTACATTTGAACAAATTTACCCTCTCCTTCCTCCAAAGGTAGGGGGAAAAAAAAAGGAAGAAAGGTTTCTGGGGCAGAAAAGGACAGGAGAAAGGTGGATTGCAGCCTCTGCGGCTGCACAGCTAAAACAAACAAAAAAAAAGTCCCCCGAGATCCCCACTAGCCCCTAAAATAGTTTTCTTCGAGGTGTCCCGGCTAGTCACGGATCTCTGCTTCTCTCTTGCTGTGAAGTGTTTGTCTCGCTGTGCGCAGAGCCCGGCTCCGTGCCGTGGGCGAGCGGGACCGCCCCGCAGCGCGGCGGGCCAGGAGCAGCGGAGCCGTCGGGCTTTCCTCGGACACACACCTGGGTCGTGTCTGCGTTGTTCCTGACCGCGCCAGGCTCGGAAAAGCTGCCGGTAGGCTCGGTTTCGTTACTGCTTTGCTCGGAGCCGGGGAGGCGCGGGGCTCCGCGGGAGCGCCTCGGGACGGGTCCAGAGCGAGGCCCCGGGCTCGTCCGGCACGGGGAGCCGGGGCCGGCAGGATGTAACATCTCCGAGCCTGGAGGATCAGTGCAGGGACCCTTTCTGGCTCTGGCTGGTCCCCGGCGCTTTGGGCCATGCTGGCAAAGCTGCTCTCTTGCTGCCCCCGCAGGTGCTTCCTTCAACTGGCAGCACTGCCCCTGCCGCTTTTATAGCCAGGACTTAAAACCTGCACCCTGGCTCATTTGGCTTCTTGGGATCACAGTCTGCCCCCCACCCTCGGGCCGCCCCATCCGGGCAGGGCTTGCAGCCAATCTGGGGAGAAGTGGAGTCCTGTTGACCGCACCCCACTGAGGTCCTGGGTCCTCCCAGGGCTGTTCTGCAGCCCTCCAAAAATGGGGCGTGGATTGGGCAGGTGCAGCTCTGTGCGTGTGTGTGGTTTGGGATGAAGCAATGGATTCGGGATGGGTGTAGGAAGGGCAGGGGAGCTGCCTGGCTCTTGTGAAGCACAGAGTTCAGCACCGTGAGGTGGGGCAGCAGGGTCGTGCCCCCCAGCACCAGCAGGGCCGTGCCTCCCAGCACCAGCAGGGCTGTGTCCCCAGCTTCAGCAGAGGTGTGACCCCCAGCACCAGCAGGGCTGTGTCCCCAGCACCAGCAGGGCTGTGTCCCCCAGCACCAGCAGGGTTGTGTCCCTCAGCACCAGCAGGGCTGTGACCCCCAGCATCAGGGGCTGTGTCCCCCAGGATCAGGGGCTGTGCCCCCAGCACCAGCAGGGCTGTGCCCCCAGCATGGTACCGTGTGCTGGTGGGTGCTGCTGCCAGCCCCTCTGCCCATCAGCTGCTGCTGCCTTTGGAACTTGGGGACTGAAGGCCAGGGAAGGGCTGGCTCACCCTGCAGCCTGGTCCTCGGTGTTCAAATAAGAAGGGTTTTTCAGTAAAAAGAGGTAAAAAGTCCCTGTTCCTCACCCTTGCCAGCTGCAGGGAGATACGGAGAGTTCAGGAATGGGAAAGATCTTCTGTCCTGGATGTCTTAGGCTGTTTTTGTGCTTTGGGGAGAGACAGTTCATGATTTTCAGAGCCAGGGCCTGGCAGTGGGGACCAGTGCTCACAGCTCTGACAAAAACATGACAGAGCTGACTGGGGCAGGACAGTGCTGCCAGGGCAGTGCCCTGTTAGCTCAGCTTCTGGTGTGTCATGAGCAGTGGGACTTGTGTCACAGCCCACAAGAGTCCCAGGTCTGTTCACAAACAGGGGATGTACTCTGCTGGCCTCTCCCAGACTGGCAGCTCTCTCGATGCTACTGTGCTTGCTTGTATGAGCAGGATTAGGTGGATTTGTCCCCAGATAAACACAACTCGGGATGGTTTTCTTAAAGGGGTAATGTTGGTTCATTGTGCTATAACGAATCTAAGCAGAGGCAGGCGATGAACTGGAGCCATTCCATCTCTACCGTGCTTTATGAGCCATGAATATTTTGATTCCTTTGGTGTCATTGTTTTTGCATATCTGTCTCTGTGTCTGGTGTAATCCTCTGAAAAAAATATTTTGTTTTCAAGCATTGTACCTGCCATTAGCATGTAGTGGTTGCACACTGTGTGAAGGCAGAGTCCTGAAGGCATTTTGATCAGGTTGTGTTCAAGTGTCTCGGCCTTACGGCACCAGCAATTAAGTTTCTATAATGAATCTGTTTGCTGTAAAGCTCCAAAGCAGTGGAGAGGGTGTAGTATTGTGTGATTACATTTTGGTTTTCTAATACAATGTCTCAGATTAAAAGCATCACATACTAACACCAGCTTTTTTTAACTGAGTGTAACTTTGATGACTGTTTGCTAAAACATCCCTGTTATTTATGCTTGTTACTGCGATCACCTATAAGGAAAATCTTTCTACAGAGATGCACTCCTGGTTTAGAGAGGTGAAACTCCAGAGAAAGCCTGTATTCTTTGAGAAATTAATTTTATAATGGAGCATGCAGAAGGAAATAGTTTGTATTGTAGTGACTAATCTGCACATTGGCTGAACTAAGACATTTAGTTAACCTTTCTATGCTGTTTGTGTGGGATAAAAATATAATCTGTCTTACTAGTGCCTGCTCACCTGAACATAACTGCAGGCAGTAAAAATGCTTTTGTAAGAGCTTACAGTAGTGAGTGAGAATGGCAAAGCAAGGACCTGCCCTGCAGACCTGACACGAGATGGTTTAGGATGGCTTTACAGACATCTGTTCTGTTCTAGTCATGGAAAAACCCCCTGCAGAATCCGGGGGAGGCAGTTGTCAAAAGAGGCACAGATATATTTTAATATTAAGATGCTAATTTTATTCTCAGTAAAGAAGGTGGCTGTTACGTGCTGCTTAGGTTTTCTTTTAGCTGATAATTTGGTAATGTTTCTCCATTTCAAATGCTTGTGTGAAAATAAACTTTAATAAAAAGAGCTGGGAAAAAAAAAATAGTTTAGCTGAATGATTTTGTTTTGGCAACTTGTTCAATAGTGGCAGCTTTGAAATTGTCAAGGCTTGACTTTGAAATGAGTGATAGGTGGAGTTTGTTTTGAGGGAGACCCAGCCCTCACCTTGGGGATTCTTTCCTGTGCACGCAGGTACCCTGACCTGGGACAGGGACACTCAGAGAGGGAAAAGTCCCTGGCAGTGTGCTGGCTGGGGAAACCGGGGAGCTCAGCCCCTGAGGATTGTGCAGGATCCGAACAGGGCTGTTTCCTTGCTTTTATTGTTTTCCGGAGCGCCGTATAACCAGCCCGGGCCGCCGGGGGTTCTGCGGGTACAGAACGGGGGCTCTGGGCAGGTTCTGGGCACGGGCACGGCCAGGGAGCCTGGGCACAGCCCCGGGGGGGTTCCCGTGCCCTGCTCGCCAGGGAAGCCGGCTTCGTGCTCTCAGAGCAGGAAGGGCTCTCGTGCTTTATTCCCATTTATTCCCATTTATTCCCATTTATTCCTGTGCCTTTAGCTGCCAGGGTCACAGCAGGCTGGGAAACGCCAGGGTTTGGGTTTCTGCTGGCCGTGGGCTTGCTCCGTTTGTGTGCCACAAAGAACGAG